ATATAATATTTCATATATGTATAAATTTTTTTTAAAAAACTAATTTTTTGCAAAGAAAAAAATAGTAACTCTGAAAATATAGATCTACCACTACTCAACTATGATGATCTAATAAATGTATACTATGGTAATATAGTATTAAATATTGTCTGGAAGTTCTTAAACAGGTAATATTGTAAATAATATTATATCACCTACATCGAAAAGATTATTTTCCAACATTTTTATCATTTCTATATATATATATATATATATATATATATAAAATATATACATACATACATATATATACATATATATGGAAATTCCTAATTCCAGATTCATGTGTTCAACTGTATGTTAAGATCTAAGACATTATACAACGTTATTTAATAATCGTATTAAAAGATTAATATACATTTTTTTCTGAAATGAGGACTTTTTGTTATTTCTTTTTCTTAGTTTTTTCATATTTAAATAATATCAAATATAATTAAAAATAGCGTGCGTCGCTATTTTTCCGTTGACGAAATCAAACACTATAAATTATTTATTTTAAATAAGAATCATTTCGGTTGATTATAACAGAATTTTATTAATGTAAAGTTGAAGAATTATGGAAGATTTTTCTATGAAAACTAAACATTTCAGGTTTAAAATGATCATAAAGGTCAACACACGTAAGGAAATTTTAATCATAATCTTAAGTCAATCAGCCACAATCAAAATTATGATCTTAGAATACACAGCTGTGAGAGTGTTTATATTGGTCGATATATTTATAGTTACAATTAAAATTTATTTATGTGTGGTGACTAAGAAATATGATGTCTATTTAAATCTACCATAAAAGTATATACAGGATTAGGTTTCTTTCTGAAAACCATGAATCATATAGCGCTGTCCCTGATAAAAAACTGAGTTGATAAGTCCTCTACTATTTTCGCAATGTTGAAATATTAATTTCTAAAGATTGCAGAATAAGCACATATCCGACCGCCCAACTATTAACCATTAAGTTGCATAATGGTAGAGGACTTTTTTGATAAAAAAACTCAGTTTTTTATCAGAAATAATATCATATGATGAGGGGACTTTAAGAAACACACACACTCTCTCTCTCTCTCTCTCTCTCTCTCTCTCTCTCTGTGTGTGTGTGTGTGTGTGTGTGTGTGTGTGTGTGTGTGTGTGTGTGTGTGTGCGTGCGTGCGTGCGTGCGTGCGTGCGTGTGCTTAGTGTATATATACATGCGTGTGAGTGCGTGTATGTATACTTAGTAATGTTTTTAAATATATAATTATTTTTTCAAGTCGATAAGATATTGAATGAAAAAAAGCATTTTGTTTTCCAAGTTTTTAATTTTTTAACGATTTTACTTTTTATATGTTGTATTCACAGAATACATATTCAAAATTTGCACGATTTACATGCGTACCATTTTATGTAGTATGTTTATTCTTCAACTCTGCTAGTAAAGCCTCTTTAATGTGTGGCGCTATTTTAATTTTTCTTTTTCTGACCTTGCCAGACTTTGTACCATTTTTCTTCAATATTGTTTCGGGTTTTTTCTTTTTTTTCAAACAACTAAGCGGATTTGGTCCTCCTTTTTTCCTTTTCTTTTTCAATTTAGTTTCTTTCTCTTCTAGTCCTGCTTGCTTTCGCAATACTTTTACATTTTCTTTTTCCCATATAGACATACCTAAACCTTTCTGCATAGCTTCAGCATGTTTACGGCTCGCCTCTGAAGGAGAGTCTAATGTAGGTACTTTTCCATGTAAATAAATTAATGGAACTCCTGGAATTATCCTCAATTTATCCTGAAGTTCACGATCTTGTGTTGCAACAATGTATCTATAAAAAGTATAGTTTTATTTTAAAAACATTTTTTCTAATATATGATCTTGATATATTAAATCATTTATTTATTAGTATTGTATTAGTATTAGTATTTGAGGAGGTACATGTAACTCAAAATGACGAAAATATTAATAAATATGAAATAATCTTTTATATATGTTAGCATATATAAACTAAAATCATTTTGAAAAATATTACAAAAATTCATCAAAATAAAAAAATATTTCACTCTTATTCCAAAATAAACAATTTAGCCTACAACTATAGTTCCCACTTTTCTGGATTTTGGCCAGAAACTCTAGCTTTTTTACCAAATCTTCAGTTAACCGGTTAAAATTTTAGTGACTTTTTTTTAAGTGCACACGTCGATTTTCTTTTAGATTTTTAAAAGATATTTTTTGCTAGAGCATGTGATCTGATCTTGTTTTTAAAGAATTCTACAAAACAATTTTAATTTTGCCAATTTTAGAACTAGTTATCAATCTCTGGATGTGAAATTTTCACTGGAACACTAGTTAAAAGGTGACAAAGGTGACAACCATATTTATAACATATTTAGCATTTACATTGAAAGTAACTTTCTTATTTTCTCATTACTGCATTTTGAATACACAACAAATGTTCTAAAGTCAATTTCTTCCTGATTCTTCTAATTGTTTCAGCAAAGACTATAGAACACAACTAAATTTATTGTCTTTATATTGATTGTAATAAACAGATATATATATCAGATATATATACAGATAGATATATTTACTTAATAAATATATATATGTTTAGCTTACAAAAATATTTTTTTAATTTAAATGAATTTAAACTTTTATTTTTCAAAGAAATATCAAAAATTTTTTAAAATATAAAAATTGAAAGTCATTTTTTAATGCTTATATTTCTTAAATCTTTGATATTTCAATATTTTCTGCAAATTTTAAGTTCAAATTTATTGAAAGTAAACAAAATATAATACAAGAGGTTTAATCCAATTAAAACCAACAATAGGTGACTGTGTGTAAAAAATATTTTATATTAATAATTTTGAACAGATGTTTCGACCCTTGCTTTGAGTCCTCTTCAGTATATTTATGTCAATTTACAAAATAATGATCTTGCAATATAAATAAACTGTTATACAAAAATGTCCATACTAGTAAGGAAATAGTCAAAGATAGTAAACAAGAGAAGTCTATGAGTAAAATATAATAAAGATATAATAAAGCAAAAACTCTTGGTGGTTATGTTTAACCTTCAAATATATTCATATATACATACCTTACACTATTATCTTTTCCTATCATAGATAAAAAACATTTTGAACCATTTATTGGTTTCTTTTCATGTCCACATCTATGTATAGCGTATTGTTTCACGATTTGCGTAGCACCGTTAACTGCTGGAGAAAATATACCAAGTTTCTCAGTTTCTGAGATGATGCATGCTGTTGTTAGCAACTTTATTTCAGACTGGAAGTACTTTGCAAGTTGCTCTTGTATATTAAATTTGTTCTAAAAAATAATAAGGCACATATAGATGGTGAATAAAATAAATTAAACATTAAATAATATTGTAAAATCTAAATAATGAATAGAAAATAACGCGTGTACAGCTAACCTGTAATGCCGCAAATGCAAATGTACCATCAATAAGGACTTGAAAAGGTTGATGAAATTTATAATTATTCACATAAAATCCAAGAGTCTTCCGGGCTTTTTTGGCTCGCGAAGTCTTCATTTTAAAAAGATAACTTTAATTAAACTTTTAGATTGGACTTTGAGACTAACCTAATAATTTTTTCGTGTTTATCGCTCTATTGGACTAGAATTCACTAGAATCCAATACCGCCAACATAGCAGATCTTTTTCTCTTTATCGCTATATACACATATACATTTAATATTTTCACGTATTAATAAAAACATTTTTATTATTTATTTATTTTTTTATTTCAAAATACAATTTTTATTGTAATATCTTATTTTTAAAATTTTCACTTTTCCATATTTATGTAAATTCTGTATCTATATTTTCTTGCATTGTTTTCAGTTTTCTTTGGAAATATATTTTTTTATATTCTTATTTATTTTATATTATTGTCATCAGTTACAAGACGATGCATACTGGATTTCAAACCCTAAAAATATATATTTTTGAATTATTATAATTCGTATAATTTAAAAATAATTGTGTAATGTACATTTTATACTTACACTTTCCCAAGCAAAAAAGTGCATGGATGTAAGCTTCTCTAATGGATCAATCATATGAACATTTAAACATTGTGATTGATCAATAAAAGGTCCACGAGAAGTTGCCATTTCAAAAATCGTTTTTTGTGGCATTTCCCAAACCGTTTTATAAAGCAGTTTTAAATCTTCAGGTATCTCCTCAATATTCTGCAAATGAGAGAGAGAGAAAGAGTTTATTAATGTTTAATATCTATTTTTAAAAAATATATATGATAAACATATATATTATATATAAATTATTTAATATGCAATCTATTTATAATACAGTTAAATTAAACAATAAATATTTACTTGTATAGATCCGCCATTCAAAATAATTTTATTACACATGTTTTCATCCCAAAGACTTTTCTCAATTAGATCTCGTAGCAAACGTGGTTTAATAATTGAGAATTGTTTTGATAATGCATGTATCGTATAAATGTTGCTCATATATGGCTCAACTGACATATTATTTTCCAACATTTGTGCCATAAATGCATCTGACATTTGAGCTATTAACAAGGAATTGCGTAATCCATGTGTAGCAATTTTTGCCTTTAAAATATCCCAATCCCATAAATTTGTCGGTTTCACACGCCACATGTCGAACTGGAGGATCTACAAAAGAATTTGCATTTTCAAACGTAAATAACTTTCACAACAAATCAATAGTAGATGACAGAAAACATTTTTCTTGATTATACTTACACCTTCACTGATTGGACTACCCTTATATGACTCATACGGACCTTTTTCAGTAGCTATTTCGCAACTGGCTTCTAGAGCGCCATAATAGAGAGTCTCAAAAATTTGAACGTTGAGTTCATTAGCTTCTTTGCTTTCAAAAGGATATCTCATTAAAATAAATGCATCTGCTAATCCTTGTATACCAATACCTAAAGTTTTAAAAATGAGTTTAAGAAAAGTAATGCATAAAGTATGCGAATTAAACGGGAATAGCTTACCAATAGATCTATGTTTATCACATGATAATTTTGCCTCTGGAAGAGGGTAAACATTAATGTCAATCATTTTATCCAAATTGTGGGTGACAATTTTCACTATTTCTTTAAGTTTGTAAAAGTCGAAAACTTTCTTAGTAGAATTTACAAACATATTGACAGCGATTGAAGCTGTATTACACATGGCAATTTCATCCGAACTCGAATACTGAACTACTTCGGTAGAGAAACTGCTGCATTTAATTGTGCCTAAATGCTGATGATTTGATTTATAATTACAATGATCTTTAAAAACTATGTATGGCACTCCTGTTTCACATTGTATCTGAATAATGAGAAGCCACAACTCCCTTGCTTTGACTTGTCTTCGAAAACGTCCTTCCTGTTCATATCTAAATAGGAATATACATTCTTGAGAAATTATATAAATTCAATGTCATTTTTTAAATTATATTAGAAATGCATAATCAATTACTTGGTATACAATGTTTCAAATTCATCACCCCAAGCTTCAATTAATCCAGGACATTCATGTGGGCACATTAGACTCCACACATCATCATCAAAAACACGTTTCATAAATAAATTTGGAGTCCATAATCCATAACACATGCCTTTTGCCCTCAATTGCTCCTCACCTATAATATAGTTGTTTAAAAAGATTATTCATATATCTTTATTTATCAAAATAAGTATGAAAAGAAAATATTAATAAAAGATAATAACCAATACTCCTTTTAAGATCCAAAAACTCAAAAATATCGGAATGCCATGGTTCTAAATATACAGTAATCGGCCCCTCATTTTTGCCATTTTTAGAGACAGTTCCAATAGATGTATCATATGTTTTTAACATAGGCACTAATCCGTTTGACACGCCTCCTGTACCCCTAATAGGTGTATTCTTTGCTCGAATGCAGTGTACATTAAATCCTATTTCACCATTATAATCACAAAGAACAGTAAATCTTTCCAACGTATCTAATATTCCATCTATGCTATCGCCAGACATTGTCAATAAAAAAGTGCTGTAAAAATATTGTTTACTTAATAATATATTAATAATATATAATACAACATCTAATAAATTTAGTTACTCATTAATGAAGATAATCACCTAGCCATTTGTTGTGTAATGGTACATGCGGTATCTATTGTCTGTGCAGTGTATATGAAATATTGTTTTGACATAAAATTGTACGTTTCGATAACCTTATCAATGTCTTCACCGTGAATAGCTACAGCAATTCGCATTAACATGTGCTGTGGTCTTTCAACAACTTTTCCATTCAATTTCAATAGATGATCACTCTCAAGCATTTTAAATGTAGAGTAACTATAATTAAAATCTCTATCATATAGTATTGCAGAATTCAATTTGTCTGCGTTATTTTGGATAATTTGATAATATTTCTCACTGATTATAGGCAAGTGTTCATTCGTGATCGAGCTTTTTGCATGATACAAATTAGCTATCACCTCTGAGAGATATAAAGTGTTAATAATAAATCTTCAAATATTGATAAACAATGTAATATCGACAATTAATAATATCTCACCACTAAAAACTTTCTTTGTCTGCTTGTGTAGATTGGATATAGCAATTCTAGCTGCTAAGGTTGCATAATCTGGATGTTGATTAATCATAATCGCTGCAGTTTCAGCTGCCAAGTTATCCAATTCGCTTGTTGTCACTCCAGAACATAAATTGGTTATAACCCTAAGTGCAATCGCAGACTGTAAGAGAAAAGTACAATAAAAAATAAATACAGTAACGCATTTCTCTTAATCTAACAATTTTATAAGTTATAATAAACTTGACTTTCAGGAAAACATTCATTAATATATAAATCAATGAAAAATTGATATGGAACAAGATTCCCCTTTCTTTCATCATTATAAAGATACATGTGTAAACGCTTACTGGATCCACATAATTCATATCCAGACCGTAACATAGTGCTTCAATTCTTCCAGTTATCTTGTCGAAATACACAGGCTCTTTACGTCCATCTGACAACAAATAAAAGAGACATTGAAAGAGAAAAGATCAACGAAACAAAGTTTCGCGCGAGGATATGTCAAATAATGTTCTGAGAGTGTATCTGTTAAGGATGTTCTGAGAGTGTATTTGTTCAGTTTGATGTAAATTACCGCGCTTGAGAACATGCATGTTGCTTCTTTGGACACTCTGAAAGCGTCGCAGTTGCAGCAACGTATTTTTTCTCCAATTTCACTTGACGCTACACAAGTAACCAGCACAATTAAAAACGTTACCTGAGTAATTTACCCGCGAAACGGAAGTGACGAATGAGATTGTCACGTGTATCACGACCAATCGCAGCTTCGTTTCGCGCAAACATCACTTCCGCAGACTTTGTGAAGGACTTTTCACGCGCCATTTCGAAAAATTCAGATCTCACGTTTTAAATACATATATTTACATATGTAAATGATTTTCGTATAGTAGAATTAGAACGCGATTTAGGCGTATGAAAAAGATATGTACAAAAATTGAGACAAGTATAATACTTTGGAGCAATATTGTGCTTTTGACATGTAAAACTTACGCAAGCGTACAAAATTGTACAAGTAGAAAAATCTATTGATATAAACGTTATATAAATAATCATTATCATTTATTTTGCAAGAGAAAATGAATAATATTATTGAATTATTAATTATTAATATAATTAATAAAAGTTATTGATATATAAAAAAAAATCGATACATATAATACATAATGTAAATATCTTTATTAATAAGCGGCATTAACGTTAAGAATTTCTTGTACGGACAATACTTGAAAAAGTAAAATAATTAAATAAAAGAAATGATATTTTATAAAATAGATTTATTTATATAAATTTTAATCCAGAAAATCTTTTCTTGAGAGGCTCTCTAAATTTGGAAGAAATAAGTTATTATATCATAGAGCTCTAACATGATCAATAAAAATAACGTATAATACAACTAATGATAGTAAACATACATATTTTTATTATCAAAAGTATTTGCTTTTTATATATAATTATATACTTTGTCCGAGTATTCATTCATGTCTACATAATTTTTAACTTTTGGTCTTTCTTCTTTTATTACACATAACATATCTTCTACTTCATTATCGCTGCTACTTGTTTCTAATAATTCATTTATAATAAATAATTTTAGTCTTTCTTTATCCACCATTTTGTAATTTTTTGCTGCCTAACTAGTTTTGTTTGTTCGAACACTAAATTGCACTGACAAAAATGTCAGTGTTATATATAGCATTTCCCTAGTTTTTCGTATGTGATACTTTTCAAGAATAGAGGTCCTGTAAATGCTAAAACAGAGACCACAGACTCTTGCATAACGCATAACACATGAGACATAAGAAATTGAACCAACCAGAGTTCTTTATTTTATGGAAAGAAAAGAAAGACTTTGATTGGTTTATTTTTTTATGCATTACATGTTATGCAATATGGGTGCATTTAGAACGTTAACCGCTCATTGAGCGCTCAGTGAGCACTTGCATTTGATTGACATATTCCATTAGATCTAAAAATGTAGACCAAACAAAAAGAGCTCATTGAGCTCTTAGTGAGCGGTCGTGCTTC